GATACAGTACATGTATTTATGCAGTATTCTCCTGGGGAGTTGATAGTGCCAGTGAGAGTTGTAGCATAGCATAGTATGGCCATCCCTGTCAACTCTTGATCTCTCGACATCTGGATCTTAATCTTGCTATGGTAACTGCTAGCTAACTGCCCAAGGTTCCTTACATTTAAAAGCCTTTTAAAAAAACTATTTAAATTGTGAGGTGTTCTTTCCTGTAGATAAAAGAAGATATGAGGTTAAAATTCTCAGCACTTCTTCCTGGCATGCTGGTTAAGGCATCTGTGACTCAGGTGAAAATTAATTGATTTTAAGATATTAAATTTAATTCCTTACCTACTAGGGTGACTCATGATTTCCCCTTTGATTTATGACCTGCGTGCTTTGCTTGTGGGCGATCAATCGAAGGGGAGTAAACTTGTCCATTTAACTTACAGAATGTACCTCCAACTGTGTAAGTAAGAGGTTCTTAAATAACAGATTTGGTTGTAAAAAGTTATATATTAATAGTAATGTTAATATATACATGTATTCTTATTCTATTCATCTGATTATTTTCATATCAGGCAACTCGTAGTGGTCTAATCCTGAATTTCCTTGGGGGATTTGAAGGCTCTGCAGACATCCTTCATTTGCCCAATTGTGGTGAAGGAGATGGACAAGACTTGGAAGCTACTTATCCAAAGAAGACAAAGGTATTACAGTGTTAGTGTATGTAGAGGATACATGCTGTCAAATTTGGAAATGACTGGATGAAAAAATATATATGTATTTTCAGCTCACGAGGCAGGTGGAGTCCAATTTGGCACTCAGAGAAATGGTTTGATTCCAGTTATTTACTAAATAAATTGCACTTGTTAAAACATGTATCTTGCAGTTGAAGCTGTCCACATTGTTTATCTAAACATGTATCCAAATTTTGCAAAGTTTGCTAAATTATTAACAAACACCCATGTACATGTACACTGTATGTATTATTATCAAGTAATCTATGTGTCTGTGATAAGATGTTGGGCTGACAATATGATTAAACATCAAATTATGGTGCTTAATTTGGCTTGAAAGGTTTGATTTAGGTCTTCGAACTTTAATTTAATCCAGAGAGGTTAAAAACCGTGCTATTGTGAGAATGTATAAATGTTCATGCAACTGTTTGCTCTATCTGTAGGTTAAATGTCGTCTGTTGTATGTGAATGTGAATACCAAGACAGTGGGACTAAGCCTTCAAGAAAATGTCATTTCCAATGAAGCTGCCAGCTTTGGTCATTGGTCAGTTGGTGATGTCGTTGATGATGCTACTGTTATCAGAGTGGATCAGGGACTGGGTCTACTATTGAGGCTGTCTGATGATATTCTTGGATTTACTCATGTTAGTTTGTTTTGCATCATTATTTTATCTATAGACAAATCGAATAAATAATGATAAATCATCTTTATAAGAGGAATTGCCCGTCACATAAACACATGGTTTTCAGAGAGGTCCAGCGTTCTACCAACGTTCCTGGACTATTTCTTCTAATCTCCTGAGTTAGATATACACTGTATTGACCGAGAACTGGTATCTTTAGTTTGGATTATCAAAAGGTGTATATATACAGTCTTTATTGTAGCTGCCATCATGTCAGCATGAAGCTTAAGAATGGCATGACGAGACAGGCTGCTGATATGCTAGACACAGAGCCTGTGAGCTTTAAAAAACTGTTGCATCATGTATGAATGAAAAAATTATTCAATATGGTTCGTTCTTTTAAAGTTTGTTATTGACAGTGCTTAGAATGTATTTCTTGTTGGACTTAAGATTTCAAGAGTAGCAGATGAACATGTGGACAAACTGGGAAAGAAATACAAAGTTGGAAGCACCCACAGGTACACGATCAATTTCACTTAAAGCTCAAGGTTACAAATGTACTTTCTTTTGCCTTGCAGTACATTTAAACAGACCAAGAAATAGCATTTAACATTTTGACGTACATGTAAGACCAAAACCAACATTTTTTTTCACAGCTTAACGCTGAGTGCTTTCCGCAGGCCGTGAAAATATCCTCAGTGGTTGTTCAGCCTTTTTAATATGCTTTCTTTGCTCTCTTGGGCATTGTGTTCTAACGGTGGACACATGGGCAAAACGGGTGAAACCCACGGCCAATGTGCATACATGTATGATTTCAGGCGGTTCTGTACATTGAACCTTTCATCATCTACATACAGTGCTCATTGTCGTGCTCATTAGAAGAGAGCAGTCTGTATGAACTTTTCAACATCGACATGTGCAAGTATTTTTTTTCATAAGTCTTGAATTTTTGTTGCCATTTTTCATAGCTCATGGACATAGGGATTAAGATGGCAGTCTCATATTTGCCCTTCGTGCATTGTAGTGTTTACTGAACTTGAACATGCTACATTATAAATTATGTGTACTATAGTATTAGAAATAAAATGAGAATGATATTTTTGTGCAGGTGTCGTATTCTTGGCTTCAACTCCTTAGATGGTTTGGTTAACCTGACCATGGAAAAGTAAGTTTAAACTTCGTATATCTTGATTTTGGAAAATTGTGATATTTTCCCACCTGATGTTATGCACAGAGAATTTGCGTGCTAAGCTTCGGAAAATATCTGGCAGATGTCATAAAAGGGCTAGGGTAACGTTACTTGTGTAAAGTGATTGCTGAAAAACACCAAGTGAACATTTAGTAAGCCACTGTAGGCTGGGAACAAATGAAAACATGACAAGTAATAGGCAGCCCTACAATATAACTTGCTTTTCAAACTGAGTTTATGTGCTTCAAATGTGGTTTTACTTGTTTAGGTCAGTCATTGAGCAGCCATTCTTGCGCTATCATGATATCAAGCCTGGAGCTGTGATCAAGGTAAATGGTGCCCCGTTCTGATTAAGTCTCCTTAAGGAATAATCTTAACTGAGTATTCGTGTTTGCTGGTTTAAGCGCTCCTCCAGTTCTCCCTGGCAGTTGGTAAAGTTCTTCATTTCTTCGTGTCTTTAATTTATTCTCCCTTTATATTCACTATCGATTTCATCTGCACTGATTGCGCACTTCAAACCGGTACGTTTTACTCATTATTTCATCTGTTTTACAAACTGCGTGCTCCTAAATAAATGTCTTACGTTTTACTCATGAATTCATCTGCTTGACAAACTGTGATTGTCTAATGTTGTAAGTTTTACTTAACATTTCATATCTGCACTGAGAAGTGCGCGCTTCTAAGGCCTAACGTAGGGTTCTTCTAATCTACGCATTACTCGTAACTTTATCAGAATTACAAACTGTACGCTTCTACTGTAGAAACGTGATGAAGAGCGTGCCACGAGGCCTTTCTTTTTTGTGTGATGAGAAAAAAGCTTCTTCCATGCCTGGCCTTTTCCAAAAAGGTGCCTTTTCCGGCAGGCTGTTCTTTTAGGACCTCTCCCTAGCAGAGTTTTTTACTGAAAAGTGTAAATTTTATTGAAGACTTCTTTTTGCGTTACATCTTTGCAAACAGTACTAAGTCAGTTCTTTCCATTCTGTAATTAACCGCGTTTGTGGAGTTCGTAACAGTTCTGTTAGATAGAAGATTCCGTTAACATTTCGCTGTGTTCAACTGTGTCACTTCTCATCTTTTCATAGGGCAAGATAATAACTTTAGAGAAGTTTGGAATGCTCGTTTCTGTATCAGACCACATCAGAGGCTTGTGCACTACACTTCATTTAGCAGACATTAATCTTCAACACCCAGAGAAGAAACTGAAAGAAGGAAAAGTCGTCAAATGCAGGGTAAGTGTCTATGAAGGCTTTAGGATGAGAATGTTTTGTGAAGTAGAAGTGTTTTTACATTGTGAATTTTGCACCAGCTACTTGGAGGAAAAAGAAACCAGTGATTAAGGATATTACTTAAAATAAAGAATGGTGATAAAACAATCCAGTATTAAACCTGAAAGAGACGTGTATGTTGTGGCATACAATGCAACTGTTGATCGACTTTTTGACTAGTCTGAAATAAAGGAAAATATAACTAACAGCCGTATAGTAAATTGCTATTGTGGAGATCAGGTCATTTGTGTCAATTGTTAAAGCGACCTTTTTGGGGAACGAGCAGATCACTCCAACACTCTCTTATTTAGTTGCTCACTTTTAATTTCCAAAGATCTCTTTTCAACTTCTGCTCTTGACAAACTTCATTCAACTCTGATCATTACAACTCCAATGCGTAGGTTTGGCTCGCGCTCTTTTAACTGGATCACACCCGTGCTGTCAATCAGCTGTCTAATCCGTCAAATTCGGAAAGCAAACGCTGATGTCAGTACATGCGTAGTGTCCTACTAACATAAATGCGGCTGCGTCATATGTCAAGCTCTAAGTATGTACCTTCGCAGAATTTACTTAGTGAAAATCTTTTGATTTCTGAATTTCCACTATCAAGCGTAGGGTGTATGATCCAAATAAAACAGCACGTTCAATATAAAAATTATCAAGAATAAGTTTACAGAATAAAATCAAGGAAAAGTGCCAAGGTCTCTAATAAAAGTTGTTGTTGAAAATTCTGTACGACTAAAGTGTTACAAGAAATAGGTTAAACTTTGCAAACTTCCAGCTTCGTGGGCGGGATTTCCAGTTAGAACTATCCATCTCATTAAGTGAACGTGCTCTTGGTACAAACACATTCTAGCGTGGTGCCGCTGCTATTGCAAAGAATCTTTTCTTTATTTGGGTCGAAGTGTGAACTAGGAATAAAGTAATAAAGTAAACATCGCTATCAAACATTTCAAAATAAAAATGAGCGATAGAAATTTTACTCAACGTTTCGATGTCGTCATGGCATCATTATTAAGTGACAAGAAAATAACGGTTCAACAGTGTTATATATGCGGTGAGAGGTGTGACTGTTTATTAACACATTTTTTTAAACAAATAGTTTCGCGCGGATGGAATCCGATTGCGTGTTCAGGCTAGGTTTCTTCTTTCTAATAAACAGCATTTCGTAAATCAGACAATCCAGTTTTCCGTTGCATTTCTTTAGGACGGAAAAATTATTGGCAAGGTCGTCGATGTTATAAGGGCTGTGATCGTTCTTTAAATGCTTTCCGATTGCGGAGAACCTGTGTTCATCAATACGTTGGTGTAAATGCAGGCTGGTATACCCGACATACTCTGCATCGCACAGATCACATTGGTAATTGTACACTACGCATTGTTGATTAATTAGAGGTGGTTTTGGTTCACGCATCTTGAGATCTTCACAGATTTTGCGACTCTTGAAT